GGGGGGGAGGGGGGAATGGTTTTTGAAGATCTATTGGAAAAATGAAGAGTTAAACATGAAAAGGCGAGTTTTTTCATCCTTTTTTCGTACTTTTTATTTTTACATTAAAAATAAACATACATTTAATGTTTTTTCAAAGAAGGGGGGGATAATGATTTATATGCTCTAGAAATTATATTAATTATATTATTTATTTTCGGCCTTAAATTTATCAGTGTGTATCTTTTGATAAAAAATGTCCTTTTATTGTACAAACTGAGCTTGGAACTCTTGTATTGTGGATATCGACATTAATGCTTGATCTTGATCTCGATCTTGTTTACCATTCATAACTATTTGTGTCTCAGGGACTTGCAGGAGGTCTGGGTCTGCTCTCACTGATGTCTCTTCTGGGCCTGGTCTAGATCACTTGGAATCAAGTATTTTCAATTGTAAATAGTGTTTGTGGTTACCTTGCTTTTCAGCAACTTAATATGTGATTTATGAACATATTTTTTTTTACTGTACAGTGAACAGTTGTCACTGTACCGATTGTGAAATAGTTTGTAGATTTAAAATTGTTACAAAATGTCATCTGGGACATTTATTAGAAATGCGTATTTTTTTATGTTCAAAGATAAACAATGTCGTCCGAGCTTGAACTACTGCAGAAGTTATGCAGTCCACCCCCAGATCCTTGGGTCCCCAAGGGAACTGTCATGGAGGGGGATGAGGAAGAGGTGGTGTGGCGAGGGATGACAGACACCGAATGGAACAAGTTCAAGGTAAAACATTAAGTTTGTAACATGTATTAGTGTTTATTTTTATTGATGATTTGGGGGGGGGGGGAATTTGAAATTAGAAGGCAACTTTATTCTTTTTGATACTTTTTACCCAAGGAAATCATTAATTTTTCCCTTAAATTCATCAATTTTTCTCTAAAAATTTAAAAGGGGATGGTGGAGATGCCACTTTTGATGTAAGGGCGGGGGCCTGCCTTCATTTTTGTTGTAAATCTTCCAATTTTTTGGCTGCACTCCTAATTAGTGATCGAAATTCCTAAAATTAAATTAAACGACTTCTAATGACTTCTTACGACCTCTAATGACCTAAATGACCTCCAAAAATGAAAATGTTTAACTATGGCCATTAGCGGGTCAAACACTGGATTTGTTGCTGTATTCCCTGGGTTCCTAGCTTTTGTTTGACATGCATAAAGTCATTGTTGAAATATTTTCCATTTGTGGAGGTCATTTAAGGTCATAAGAGGTCATTAGAGGTCATTAGAGGTCATTAGAGGTCATTAGAAGGTCATTAGAAGGTCGAACACTGGACTCGTTGCTGCTACTGTATTCCTTGGGTTTCTAGATTTTAAATGATCTGCATAAAGCCATGGTTAAAACATTTCCATTTTTGGAGGTCATTTAGGTCATTAGAGGTCGTAAGAGGTCATTAGAAGGTCAAACACTGGATTCGTTGCTGCTACTGTATTCCTGGGGTTCCTAGCTTTTAATTAATATGCATAAAGCCATAGTTTCAACATTTTTAATTTTGTAGGTCATTTAGGTCATTAGAGGTTGTTAGAAGGTCAAACACTTGATTTGTTGCTGCTGCTGTATTCCTTGGGTTCCTAGCTTTCGTTTGATATGCATAAAACCATAGTTAAAATATTTTCTAGGTGTGGAGGTCATTAGAGGTCTTTTGAGGTCATTAAAATTAATTTGATTTTATTTAAGGAAACTCGATCACTAATTAGGCGTGCAGCCAAAAATTGGAAGATTTGAACCAAAAATTAAGGCAGCCCCCCCCCCCCCCACATCAAACATGTCATCTCCACCATCCCCTTTTTCCAAAATTCAGCGAATATAACCCTTAAAGATTTCCACTTAAGCATATATAACTTTTGAAGCAAAAATTATTTTAACCAGAAAGGCCGGGAGGGGGGGGGGGCTTAAAATTTATTTACTAGAAAATTTACGTCCCAGGTTAACCAGGTCACAAATAAACTTAAATAATAACTTAAAAACTTTATTTTATAATTGCTAAATGAATTGAAATATTTGGAATACAAAAGTAATCAATGTTTAGAAAGCAAGTTCATGGGATCCCATGTTTAAGCGCGGTATGTCCGATTAACCCGTTAAACATCTACATCGGATAAAACATGAGAAAATATTGTCTTTTTTCCCATTTTACAGCATATCTACTTCTGACAGTTTCTATTATTGTCTTCGCAATATAAATCCGCTTGTTATTGTAACTCAAAAACCACAAATGAAAGCAAAAGAGTTCTAGCTTAAAAAATAAGGATATCATATTCATTCTTGACAAAGGTTTAAAGGGTATCATTTAGAATTGTACAAACTTCTAATATAAGGAGACTTAAAATTACATCCGACCCATTAAAGCATGCTTTTCTTAGGATTTACATTATTAAAACGGCATCTTAGAAATATTAAGTACTTCCGTAAATGTGAAATGAAATGAATAAGAAAAATTAAAAATCCTACCACTTTAATTATCAGTTTCTTTTTTTGTGTCTCCGGAAACACTAATTATTATTAAACTTGCAGGAAGACGAACAGGAGAAACTGATTATTATTTAACTTGCAGGAAGACGAGCAAGAGAAACTGATTATTATTTAACTTGCAGGAAGACGAGCAGGAGAAACTGATTATTATTAAACTTGTAGGAAGACCAGCAGGAGAAACTGATTTTTATCAAACTTGTAGGAAGACGAGCAGAAAAACTGATTATTATTAAACTTGCAGGAAGACGAACAGGAGAAACTGATTATCATTTAACTTGTAGGAAGACGAGCAGGAGAACTGATTATTATTAAGCTTATAACTGATTATTATTAAACTTGTAGGAAGACTAGCAGGAGAACTGATTATTATTAGGCTTGTAGGAAGAGGAACAGGAGAAACTGATTATTACTAAACTTATAGGAAGACGAGATGGAGAACTGATTATTATTTAACTTGTAGGAAGACGAGTAGGAGAAACTGATTATTATTAAACTTGCAGGAAGACGAGCAGGAGAAACTGATATTATTGAACTTGCAGGAAGACGAGCAGGAGAAACTGATTATTATTAAAATTGCAGGAAGACGAGCAGGAGAAACTGATCATTATTAAACTCTAAGGGAGGCGAGCAGAAGAAACGTAATTATTAAATTTGCAGGTAGACAAGCAGGAGAAACTGATTATTGTTAAACTTCCAGGAAGACGAGCAGGAGAAACTGATTATTATTAAGCTTGCGGGAAGACGAGCCGGAGAAAACGATTATTATTAAACTTGCAAGATGACGAGCAGGAGAAACCTATTATTATTAAACTTGCAGGAAGACGAGCAGGAAAACTGATTGTTATTATACTTGCAGGAAGACGAACAGGAGAAACTGATTATCAATAAACTTGTAGGAAGACTAGCAGGAGAACTGATTATTATTAAGCTTGTAGGAAGACGAGATGGAGAACTGATTATTATTAAACTTGTAGGAAGACGAGGAGGAGAAACTGATTATTATTAAACTTGCAGGAAAACTAGCAGGAGAAACTGATTATCATTAAACTTACAGGAAGACGAGCAGGAGAAACTGATTATTATTAAAAAAAAACTTGCAGGAAGACGAGCAAGAAAACCCGATCATTATTAAACTTGTAGGAAGACGAGCAGGAGAAACTGATTATTATTATTATTAAACTTGTAAGAAGACGAGCAGGAAAAACTGATTATTATTAAACTTGCAGGAAGACGAGCAGGAACAATGGATTATTATTAAAATTTGTGAGAAGACGAGCAGGAGAAACTGATCATTATTTAACTTGCAGGAAGACGAGGAGGAAAAACTGATCATTATTAAACTTCTTGGAAGACGAGCAGGAAAAACTGATTATTATTAAACTTGTAGGAAGACGAGCAGGAGAAACTGATGGTTGAAAGAGAACGGATTGGGAAGAGGAGAACTGTAGTTGATGGAAGCTGTGCTGAAACAAGTATATGCTCTGAAAGTGATATCGAGGTAGGATTAATCTTGTTTAGCTGGAACTATTCGATGAATTACAGTTTGATGCGTTGCTGGAGACAGGGCTTTCTAATTTAGGAGTTGGAAAGAATTGTTTTTCTTACAAATCAAATTTGGGCTTCGAACCCTGGTTTTGTGAGTCCGGTTGAAAGATTAAACAGTTATAAAACGAATTTTGGTTTCAAAAGTTGGTTAGATCTTGTCATAAAATTGCTATTTCAGATTTCAAACCATTTTAAACAATAAGCTGCCCCAAAATTTTACTTTTAAGTTCAATGCTTTCTAGGGGGGAAAAATCGGCAACAGGCAGATCTTTTCTGCAGGAAACCCCTCTCTTATTCCTGTTATAGTTACAAGGATTTGAATTTTAAGTTTAAAATTTATTCTAGTCTGAATCGACGTGTTCTTCATCAGCCTTCAGTAACACTACAGCCACTAAAGAGGACTTACAGGTGACACTTATGATACCCCTAAGCAGTATGGCATGGAAGGAAAGGGAAACTTGTGGATTTCAATAGATATCTGATGGTAAACTGAAAAGATAAGTTTATAATTAAGAACTAAATTCCTTATTATAAACATTCATATGTAATTCATGCTTGATCAGAGAAAGCTCTTCAGGGAACTTCTGTGAATTGGGAATTGCTATCTTTGCATGAACTCATACTTCTAGGGGTCAAAGTGTACTTTAATGATAAGCGGGGTGGTTTGGTTTTTTAATGGATTTAATAAGAGAGTGTAAAATAACTTCAGGAATGGAACTATTTGAACAATATTTCACTGAGCAACATACAGGGTGGCCAAAATGTACGGATTAAACGGATTTTTGTATTTTGTAACCCTAAAATTGTACGGATTGTACGGATTTTTATCCTGGAAATAGACCGGTTTTTTAAAATTTTTACTCATTTCAGCAAGTTTTTCATGAAAATTTCAAAAAAAATCTCGTCAAAATGAAGTTGGATAAACTTATTTTCTGCATTCTAAATAATATTAGATTGATTAACGTTTCAATTGACAATCAAAATTCATTCATAATTTTCGAGATCCCAGAAGTGTTCATTTGAGAATATGTTCCAGAAGTGTTCATTTGAGAATGTGTTTATCTATCTGTCTATCTGTCTAGCTAGCTGTTTAGCTATCTGTCTAGCTAACTGTTTAGCTATCTGTCTATCTATCTATCTATTTGTCTATCTGTCTAGCTAACTGTCTAGCTATATGTCTAGCAATATGTCTAGCTATCTATCTATCTAGCTATCTGTCTATCCATCTGTATATCTATCTGCATGTCAGTTTATCTATTTGTCTATCTGTCTAGCTCTCTGTCTAGCTATATGTCTAGCAATATGTCTAGCTATCTATCTATCTAGCTATCTGTCTATCCATCTGTATATCTATCTGCATGTCAGTTTATCAATCTTTTTATTTATCTGTTTATATATCCTATCTGTCTCTCTGTTTATCTATATGTCTATGTGTCTATCTGTTTCTCTGTCTATCTATCTGTTTCTCTGTCTATCTATCTGTCTGTCTGTTTATCTACCTATCTATCTGTCTCTTTATCAGATCTGAGAAAATCCTCTCAGGTTTCTTCTGTTTATCTGTAAATATTTTCATTTTTAGTTTAATATTAACTTTCTTCTAATTTTGTTAGCAACCCCTGTACCACGCTATTTTTAATTATATTAGATCCTAAATCTACAATCCACTCTTTCTAATTATAACTTAACTGTTTGGTTGTTAAATGGCCTACACACTGATGTAAACCGTTTTAAAAATTAGAATCAACGCTCTTTAGTTCTCTAGTTCTCTAGTTCTCTAGTTCTCTAGTTCTCTAGTTCTCTAGTTCTCTAGTTCTCTAGTTCTCTAGTTCTCTAGTTCTTCAGTTCTTCAGTTCTCTAGTTCTTCAGTTCTCCNTTTTTTTTCGAAATTTGGACGGATTGTACGGATTTTTTTTCGAAAATTGTACGGATTGTACGGATTTCCTCTGAAAATGTACGGATTTTTGTACGGATTTCTTCAAAAAAGTTTTGGCCACCCTGAATATATCATGTTGACGAGAACTGAAGACGGACATGAGAAGGACTAAACTAACTTAAATTTCTCTCTACAGAACTCATGTACACCACAAGTACTCAATGACATAAGAACAGCCAATGTTCACAACCGACCTAGTAAATCTATATATTGGAATATCTTTAAAACATCTCTGTACATTTATCTTTCAAGATGAAAAATGTCGTCTTATGCGCAATCTATCTTTATCTATGGCACATACACGTCTTGTGTATTGTATAATTATATGTAAAATTATTTATATGAATCCTCTTCTGCAGGTTCCGTACCAGTTCACAAGGAACAGGAAACTAGATTTGGCTGTTTTTAAGTACAGGTTAGATCATTTCTTAAAAATTTGTTTTAAATCTTTTGAGTAATTGGCCGGGAATATTGAGAGATGGAGTTAAGATAAGGGGCGTAAATGTTTCTAAAAATTCTTTCTTTATCCAACCTCCTTAGTAGTTAGATTTTAATTGCTGAATGTTTTTTAATGGGTTTACTATGAAAAAGAATGAAAGACTTGCCTGTTAATGTCCAATTTTTATTTTTTTTCCCAGATCGTCAAAGATAATTTATCCTGGGGGGTTAATTCTTAAAAACATAAACCCTGACTAAACTAGATAAACCATACAGAGTTAAGTTGAAGAAAATTATAATTTATATCCATCATACATACTGTTCAGTTGGTTGAATATTCTGATCTCTCATTGGCTGAATTTACACCAACATTATTTCAGCACCAATGAATATAATAGTCTACTTTACTATGCTGAATACTCGGTCTTGAAGAATTGAATTGGGGTGAATAAATGATCTGTTGAAAAAATGTGAGTTAAAATCCAGTTTTTCATTTTCTCCTCTCAAATCTCTAAAAATACTTGTTCAAAATGTCCCTGATTTTACAATTATTGGATAACCTTGTGTATAAATTAACCATAAAGAATAGATTTAATATTTTAGGGAGCAGATACTAGAGCTAGTTAATGATAACAATGTTGTTGTTATCAGCGGGCATACTGGTTGCGGGAAAACTACACAGGACACTTGTCTTTTATTTTCTCTGAAATTTTATTTTGATATCATAATTTTTCGTAATTCTTCCAGTAATTATAATACTTCTATGTTTTTATTGGAATTAAAATTTTGTTGATTTTCCCTCCTTTCCCAAGTATTTTTAAAAATTTTTACCGCAAAACTTTCAGTTAATGTAAAAAATGAATAATATTTTAAAGAAAAGATATTAAAGAACCCTTGGAAAAGCTTTACAGTTAGCATTTGTCAGCTTCCCCTCCCCATTGAGTAGAGGGGAAGTGATTTTTGAGGGTTTGGGATATTGCTTAGCATCAAGCTACTGAACCCAGTATCCAGTGGACAAACTTTTAAATCGGGGTCTAACTCTTAAAAATTGGGAAAATTTGTTTATTCCTGGGATTAAAGAGTTATCCTACGCCTCAGGCTTAGCCTTCAACGGGAAAGGTAGTCGGCTAAGACTAGTTATCACAGATTCTAAGGGACTGTAAGCATAATTTCAAGTGACCCTCCATGCAAAGATAGTTATGCCCGATTCACAAAGGTAAACTTAAAAGCTCTGTCTGATTCAGTAATAATTAGATATAAATGTTTATAATCTGGGAAATAGGTGTTATCTACTGTAGGAAATAAAAGGAATTTTAAAAATCAAAAACTGAAAAACCTAGATAAAAGACATCATCTTCCACATTATTAATCAAATATAAGTTTCAAGGTTACTGTTGTGAATCGGGCATTGTCATTTTTGCATGAAGGGGCGCTCAAAATTATAATTGCAGTCTCTTTGAGACATAAAAGTTTCGCCTTCCGATCTTAAAAGTAACAATGAACATCTAAATTGGGGCAAAAATCTCCAAACTTTTTACATTGATCAATTAAGTATATATTAAGAAAGTTTGGTCCAGATTCCACAGTTTATCCTGGAACAGAAATCAACCTTGAGGGAACCCGTCAACATTATTGTAACTCAACCAAGGAAGATAGCAGCGAAGAGTATTGCAGAGGAATTTAAACCATAATCAGTATTTACCTTTCCACATGAAAAGGGGTGTATAGTTTTAGAAAAATCATTTTTGAAGATCTGGGAAAGGTGTGGGGAGGGGGGAATGAAATTGGCATAGAATTCCAATTTTTATTATAATTTTTCATACTTATTACTCTAAAATTTGATTATTTTCCCATAAAAATCATTTATTTTCCCCAATTAAGCAAATACAACCCTAAAAAAAATCAAATCTCTAAAAATACTTGTTCAAAATGTCCCTGATTTTACAATTATTGGATAACCTTGTGTATAAATTAACCATAAAGAATAGATTTAATATTTTAGGGAGCAGATACTAGAGCTAGTTAATGATAACAATGTTGTTGTTATCAGCGGGCATACTGGTTGCGGGAAAACTACACAGGACACTTGTCTTTTATTTTCTCTGAACTTTTATTTTGATTGATTTATCATAATTTTTCATAATTCTTCCAGTAATTATAATACTTCTATGTTTTTATTGGAATTAAAATTTTTGTCGATTTTCCCTCCTTTCCCAAGTATTTTTAAAAAATTTTACCGCAAAACTTTCAGTTAATGTAAAAAATGAATAATATTTTAAAGAAAAGATATTAAAGAACCCTTGGAAAAGCTTTACAGTTAGCATTTGGCAGCTTCCCCTCCCCATTGAGTAGAGGGGAAGTGATTTTTGAGGGTTTGGGATATTGCTTAGCATCAAGCTACTGAACCCAGTATCCAGTGGACAAACTTTTAAATCGGGGTCTAACTCTTAAAAATTGGGAAAATTTGTTTATTCCTGGGATTAAAGAGTTATCCTACGCCTCAGGCTCAGCCCTCAATGGGAAAGGTAGTCGGCTAAGACTAGTTATCACAGATTCTAAGGGACTGTAAGCATAATTTCAAGTGACCCTCCATGCAAAGATAGCAATGCCCGATTCACAAAGGTAAACTTGAAAGCTCTGTCTGATTCAGTAATAATTAGATGTAAATGTTTATAATCTGGGAAATAGGTGTTATCTCCTGTAGGAAATAAAAGGAATTTTAAAAATCAAAAACTGAAAAACCTACATAAAAGACATCATCTTCCACATTATTAATCAAATATAGGTTTCAAGGTTACTGTTGTGAATCGGACATTGTCATTTTTGCATGAAGGGGCACTCAACATCATAATTGCAGTCTCTTTGAGACACAAAAGTTTCGCCTTCCGATCTTAAAAGTAACAATGAACATCTAAATTGGGGCAAAAATCTCCAAACTTTTTACATTGATCAATTAAGTATATAATAAGAAAGTTTGGTCCAGATTCCACAGTTTATCCTGGAACAGAAATCAACCTTGAGGGAACCCGTCAACATTATTGTAACTCAACCAAGGAAGATAGCAGCGAAGAGTATTGCAGAGGAATTTAAACCATAATCAGTATTTACCTTTGCACATGAAAAGGGGTGTATATTTTTAGAAAAATCATTTCTGAAGATCTGGGAAAGGTGTGGGGAGGGGGGAATGAAATTGGCATAGAATTCCAATTTTTATTATAATTTTTCATACTTATTACTCTAAAATTTGATTATTTTCCCATAAAAATCATTTATTTTCCCCAATTAAGCAAATACAACCCTAAAAAAAAACATATATAATTTTTCTGTAAAAAAAAATCAAAAGACGGGGTGGGTGGAATTATTTGTCAGGAAAATATAACACCCCTGCACTCAAATGAAAAACAAAACCATAAAATACAAATAACCTGGTATCAACTTGAAAATTTCAACAGTGTATTATTGATATTAACTAGAACACTTTCTAAACCTAATAATTATGGATGATCAGAGGGTGTGTAATGAACGAGGTTGGCATATGGGTGGATTAGTTGGATATCATGTTGGACTAGATAAGATGAACAAGTCTCCAGATACTCGTCTTCTCTATGTCACTACTGGAGTTTTAAAGATGATGCTCATCAATGATGTGAACATTGCCAACACCTTCACACACATCATCTTAGACGAGGTTATTTTGTAGTAGTTCTTTTCATATGAATTATGTTCCATAAATGATAATGTTTTCTTCAATTAAACAAAAGTGATTCACTTATCATTTACCCTCAAGGACACAAACTTCTTCGATGTGCTGGTACAGGTTAAAAGATACTATTGGAAATTGTCAATTGTACTCTTAAAGAGAAACCAAGGATAATTTCTTACAGTTTCGTAGTTTATAATACCTTTTATTAGCCTTACCTTACTTCTTCTCCAGGTTCATGAACGTGATTTAGATGTGGACTTCATTCTGGCATATCTTAAGGAACTATTTTAAATTTTATCTGACTAAATTAAGTATTAACCTTATGGACTGCCTAATCACTAATCAGTAATTACTAATTATGATTTAAAGTTATCATACATCATACATCATACATCATACATCATACATCATACATCATACATCTTAAATCATAAATCTTAAATCATAATATTTATTTTGTACATCATTGGGGGTTGGGGGGAATATATTAAAATACTTACTGGAGACGGACAGAAGAAATGCAAGGCAATAAGAGTATGAGTACTCAGACATACGGGGGGTGAGAGAGAAAATGGCAAACTAGGAAAACTTTAGCCAGGGGTGTATACAATGTACACCCCTACACACAAATGGAAAAGAACTTAATGGAACTACAAGAAACATTGAAGGAACAAGCCTGGTTAGCTGTTAATAAGCATCCAAACTCATCAAAAAGACATTAATTCTTTCCATTGAATCTGGTTCTATGTGTACTGTGTAGGCATCTAGGAAACTGAGAGCAGTCAATTTCTTATACAACTCTCTCCAGTTTCTTGTTGCTGTACAGAACCTATGTGTGGAATAACAGTGTAGTACACCCCACTTGGGGAAAAAGACAATATTAGTGGTTCTCTTTCCCGTACTCTGAAGCACTGTGTCCGAGTGAATCTTACTAGAACCAAAATTCTTTTATTGAAAATATCCACTCCTTTCTTAACCTTTCTTATCCCATTTGTCATTATTAAGGCGGAATTCTGACAATTAATATCCTCAGAATTTTCAAACTCCACCTAGTGCAGTGAAATTTTTCTACAACCTGTGAAAGTATATTGAACGATGAATTTGAACATGAACCTTCAAAAAGTTCAGTCAGCATTCCTGGAAAAAAATAAAACTGCTTATCAGCTAAAAAAACAACACACATGTCAGAGAAAATTCACTACACTTTTTAAAATTTTTGCACAAAGGTTGGGATTGTAAAGACGATCTGAAAGTCATACAATAGATGATGCCAAGGTTAAATTGAGTTTTTTGCCTTGAATTTAGTTTTTATCTGGCTTGAAATATTATTTGGCAAAGAGAAAAGCAATCATCATGAACTTAGAAAAATGGACGGTATAAATTCCAGAAGTTGTCCACGAAGTCGCATCATTTTTGGGTTACACAGATAATGAAGCATAATACATGAAGAGTGTGACTTAGTTCATCATTAGCTTGGTATATTCAGTAATTAAAACCTATAATAATATAATTATTTCAGTCAACTATTTGAACGATTTCAAGAATGTTCACAAGCACGATCTAGAGTTTATCTCTATACACGAGCCCAAGCTTTATCCCAAAGCAATGGAGGTAATCTAATTTTACAGGGATTTTACACTTCTTTGAAAATAACATTGGAGACCTGAGCTGTGAACTTTCTTTATTTGGATTTTGAGATCAATGCTTGATATCAATCTTTTTTAATCTGCAGATTAATCAAATCTTTATTTGATTTCCTGTAAGTTTATCATACCCAGTCAGGGGTGGAAGGGAGCTTTGATCAAAAAAAAGATTTGAAAGAGGTTGCTCACAGTGAATATCGAGATTAAGCGATCGGGATTATAAGTATCCTACATGTACTAAAGTTCCCAGATTTGAATAATAAGAATGAGTTTCCTGGTTAATTTAAAACTAACAAAGGAGGTTTAAAGAAATACTCACTAAAGAATGAATTATCTGCTATCTGTACCGAATAATTGAATCAGTTGGTCAAACTCACTATTTTTCTTCTTGTTTTGCTGTTGAGGGTTATCCTTAAATTATATCTTAAATTAGTTCTTAGTCGCAAAGTTTTATTTGAATTATGTAATGTAATTATTAGTCATTTTTATTTCGACACCAAGACCATATCATTTATNTGTTGAAGTTTACCTCTTCATTTTCTGTCTTTGAATTTCCTGAAAATTACAAGCAGGGTTCTCTGGTCAATATATTTTAACTGAATGGTTTTCAGAGTGAAGGGCCTCTGCTCAATATTATTCCCCTCCATTCCTCAATTCCCTGGCAGGAGCACAGGTATCTTATCAAAATAATTCGCGTGTTAAATTATAGAAATTGCTAATTCAATCTTTGTCCTTTGAATTTTGAACTTAATTTTTGCCTAAACCATGGTAAATAAAATTCTTTGATTTTCTCCCCAAAATTTGATGACTAAAAGACATGGAGCCGCAGGCATTTAAAAAAAAAACTAAAGGTATGGTGGCAACTGCAGAGAAGTTGGGATTGATTATTTGTAAGTCTTGGAATATATTTGTTCTAGGAATTAATTTCTCATCATTTCACTTAAGGGTTGTCTACTTGTACTTCTCAAGTTCTCCAAAATAACTTGCATAGTGCAAAAATGTATTAGTAAGTTTCTTCCCTGCTTTGCCTAATCCCTCATTCCCTCTCAACCTTTTCTTTTCCTCTCAACCTTCCCCTTTCCCTCCCAACCTCCCCCTTCCCGCCCTTCTCTCTCCCTACCTTTTTTCCTCCATTTTCCTTTCTTGTTTTCTTCCCCTTTTCCTTTCATTTTTCTTATTCCTTCCCATTTTTCTATCCCCTCTTCCTCCCCCTTTTAAGCCCTATAAATACTAATGCTATATCTTAAAAGTTAACCATATCTCTAGACGTTTCACTCAAAACCTAAAATATTGCAAAAAATTAGTTTTAAACTTTTATATGTATCACAATTTTTAACTTGGTTAATTGCTAGATCTTAATTTGTATGCCGTCAAAACCGTTAAACCTTATTATTTTATCCATCATTAAATGCTATATCAATGATATGGTGCCCTGTTTGAATCTTAAAAAACGACTCACTTTTCTAAAAAATTTAGTTACTTATGTAATTTTGTTTTATTACTTTAATTATTTTTAAAATGTTCTTAATTTTTTTGTGATAAATTTTCTTAATCTTTAGTGGGATCTTTGTTGAGAGCAGTCCTAATGAAAGGAAGGTTATCCTATCCACTAACATTGCAGAGAGTTCAGTTACAATACCAGATATTGTTTATGTTATTGACTTCTGCCTAACCAAGCGACTTGAGGTATTTTTTTAATTATTAAATCCAGTAAATCTCAGTTAGCTAAAGAGGAGATTAAGTCAGTGGGTTAAACATCGTGTAAGGTATGGAAAAGGTCATAAAGTGAAGAAGTAATTCCGTTAAATACCTTAAAGTATATATTTTAACTTGCTGTATCAAGTACCTTTAACCTCTCCTTGCTCAATTATTTACTCCTGTTTAAAGACTCAATAAAGTAAAAAATTAAAGCTATGTGGGATTAACAAATATTTGTTCGTTTTTAACCTTGAACAATTAAGGCCATCTGTATGGACCCTCCCAATGGAAAGGACATAGACTCAGCAGTTCAGAATCTCAAGCTTATTGGTGCTCTACTCCCTACACTGAAAGGAGAAGATGCTGAAGATGATGGAGATATTACCGTCCTCGGACAGATCGTTGCTAAACTACCCGTTGATGTTCTTCTAGGAAAGATGATTGTCTTGGGTCATATATTTGGTGTCCTGGAGGATATGGTTATTATTGCTGCAGGACTCAACGGGAAATCAATCTTCTCCACATTCTTCTCCAGGAAGCTCGCCTCCTACACTTCTAAGCTGCACTGGGCCGGAGGTACTGCATCGGATTTTGTTGCGATCCTTCAGGCGTACAAAACCTGGAGCTACAAGCGGGAGAGCGGAGCATTCAGTTTAAAGAGGGATGGAAATATGACGAATGAGAAAGCGTTCTGCAAGCAGTTTAATCTTCAGCTTAATCAGCTTCACGAGATGAAGCTTCTGATCGATGAAATACATCATAGTCTGGAATTTATGAGGATTATTTCCCCGAGGATAGGTCAGGCACCTCCAGCTACCAAGATTGATCCAGGATTACTCCGTGATATTGTGATCTTCGGTGCGTTTTACCCGAACTACTTCTTCAAATACCACAACTCTGAGAGAGAGAAGCAAGCATACAAAACCTTGGAGAGTAATGATCCAACCTGCTCAGTATACTTCTCCTTTCCTGGAGATCATTGTAAGTATGGTGAGTTGTACAATAACCAGGTCAAGAAAATTCTATCCCCTGCCATCGCTGAAGAAGATATTGAAAAGATCCAGTTCAGTTACTCCAAGATTGTTATAACACTGAAGAAGGATGCCCATGAGATGGGAGCAGCTCAAGGCAGGATTGGAGAGAATTTCATTCCGGACAACGTTCTTACAGCTCTGAAGTTGGGAAAGACTAACCAGTAAGTACTAATTAAGATTAAAACATTAAGTGGCAAATTAAAAAAAACATGGAAATTTAATGTAATAAATCATCCATTTGATATTTCTGAAAAAGGGTGTTTATTTTCCAGGGCTGACATGAAGATCAACCTTTACGATGCAGATAAGGCAGAATTGTACCTAAAGAACCTAAAGGTCAAGGATGCAGGACGGTTGTCCACGAAGCTCAATCAGCTGGAAGCTCCGGATATGAATGAAAGCAAGATTAAGTTCAAACTTCTCCACGTTGAGTCTCCAAGTTCATTTTGGATTGAACGTGAAGATCAGGAGGAAAGGCATGTTTCTCTTATGCAGATGATTCGCAAGAATATTGACAAGTGTCTAATCGTGGAACGTCTTGAGTTTATTAAGGTATAAAACAAATATGACTTGATAACATAGTGATGTCTGAGTTGTTGTTGTTCCAAAATTTTTTAAATGAACCCTGTTTTCATAGAACCTAATTAAGATGTATATATGTTATTTATCTTAAATCATGAACGTAAAAGAATTTTTTTTTGATTTGATAATTTTAGGTTGGAGACCTATATCTTGCACCAGTTGACCATGATGGTAACTTGGTCTACTACAGAGCTAGAGTAGAGAGTAAATATGAAGATTCGAGGATTAAGATTTTCTTCGTAGATCATGGAAGCAGCATTATTCTCAACTACAGGCAGTTAAGACTGATTGCCCCTGAGCTAAGAGCAGATTTATCAATCCCAGCAATTGCAGTTGAGTGTGCTATCTCCAGCATACAACCAAACAAAACTAGAGGAACTATTCACTACTGGGACCAGGAATCCGTTATAGCGTTCAAGAAACTCTTCCAGGAGGGAGATAACAGTGGTCGTGGTTTCCTATCAGATATCTACTCTGTGATACCCAGTAACAATGGTGTAAACAAATATCTGATAAAGTTGAGCACGGTTCAAATGTACAATGAGAAGGGTCACCAGGTAGAGGTGAGGCAGTGGTTGTTGGATAACCAATATGCTGAAGCTAATGTTGAGAGCTTTATCAGCCAGGAGAGGGCTAAAGAACGAGCAGAATATTATCTAAATAATGATGCAATGAAGAATTATCTGAACCGTCCTGGTAGATATAATGAGGAGGAGGAGAGGCAGTTTAATATAGAGCGAGGACTGGAAACCATGGCTGTAAAGCTGAAGGGTCCCTTTAGCCCTCTTGTAACCAACATCTTGTCTGCCCACAAACCTAACTGGAAATCTGTAGGGAAGGCCAAGATTGAGAGCGACAGTGTGAACTCGATCCTCCTGGATTTTTCTCCCAGGGTGGAACACAATGTGTGGATGGTTGCTGCTCAGCTTCAATGCAGTGGAGGATCTAAAGATATCCTTCTCAGGTTTAGAATTATTATGCTTACATTGCTTAAGTTTCTCAAATTATCAAATCTGTTCAGTTAATTAAATGCTGTCAGTGGTACCAAATTCATTGTACAAAATGCGTGAAGACAGTTACTTAGCACTTCCAAAATCGCAAACAAATTGCACTCAAAATCGACCAAATATAGTGTAATTTGCTTATCTAAAAAATCTACTCTGTTAAATTTTTCATATTTTTTATACATCTTCAAACTAGTAGATTTAAGTCTTTATACATCTTCAAACTAGTAGATTTAAGTCTTTACCCAAATAGATGACAGGTTGCAGCTTTTCCAAACAAGCTTGGAGAGACTTAAAACAAGAAAATTCTATTTTTTTATCAGACTTAATCTAGTCTCAAGATTTCAAATTACAGCATAATAATGTTAAAATTTAAGGAACACATGTTGGTTACCCTCTAGGCCAGGATTGGGACAGTTCTTTGCAATGATGTTTGCTCCCAGGTAGAGCCTATTCTTGTGTTTGCTCCCAAGTAGAGCCTATTCTTGTATTTGCTCCCAAGTAGAACCTAGTCATGTGTTCGCTCCCTGGTAGAATCTAGTCTTGTGAATGTTCCCAGGTATAACCTAGTCTTGTATTTGCTCCAAGGTAGAACCTAGTCTTGTATTTGCTCCCAGGTAGAACCTAGTCTTGTGTTTTCTCCCTGGTAGAACCTTGTCTTGTGTTTACTCCCAAGTAGAACCTTGTTTTGTGTTTGCTCCAAGATAGAACCTAGTCATGTTTTTGATCCAAGGTAGAACCTTGTCTTGTGTTTGCTCCCAGGTAGAACCTAGTCTGTGTTTGCTCCCAGGTAGAACCTTGTCCTGTGTCTCCTCCTAAGTAGAACCTAGTCTTATGTTTGTTCCCAGGTAGAATCTAGTCTTGTGTCCTCTATTTGCCCCCAGGTAGAACCTAGTCTTTTGTTTTCTCCGAAGTAGAGCCTATTCTCGTATTTGCTCCCAGGTAGAACCTAGTCCTGTGTTTACTTAATGGGTAGAACCTACTCTTGTGTTTGCTCCCAGGTAGAACCAGTATTGTGTTTGCTCCCAGGTAGAACCTGGTCTTGTGTTTGCTCCCAGGTAGAACCTGGTCTTGTGTTTGCTCCCAGGTAGAACCTAGTCTTGTTTTTGCTCCCAGGTAGAACCTTGTCTTGTGTTTGTTCTCAGGTAGAATCTAGTCATGAGTTTGCTCTTAGATAGAACCTTGTCCTGTGTTTGCTCCCAGGTAGAACCTAGTCAATTATGTTTGCTCCCAGGTAGAACCTACTCTTGTGTATGTTCCCAGGTAGAACCTAGGCTTGTATTTGTTCCAAGGTAGAGCCTAGTCTTGTGTTTGCTCCCAAGTAGAATCTAGTCTTGTGTTTGCTCCCAGATCTTAGAACCTAGTCTTCTGTTTCCTCACAGGTAATAAAAAGTGTTCCAATAGAAATCTTTAAATTCCGATTTCAGGGTTCAGATACGTGTGAACAAGGAGAGAACCAACTTTACTGGATGTTTGCTAGGACTAGGATACAAGATGGAGAGTAATTTGTCAACCAGGAACAAACCTGAATGGAAATCCTTGAATCCACAGTTTGATATGGAGATTGAGTTCGATTGCAGGTTGGGATTCTAAAATAAATTTTTTTCAGTAAACTGTTTTTTTTCTGTAAATAAGAAAATAGGGAGAGGAGAATTATGTTTTAACTTGACTAAGATTTGAAAGTTCAAACTTTTGAACACGTTGGAGGATAAAAAAAATCTATTTTTAAGTGTGAAGCAAAATTATGCGTTGAACTTTATACTATCTTTATCTTAGGGTTGGGATGGACGAGCTGAACTTAATAAACGGGATTAGGTCTTCTCTTGGTGAGCTTCTAAGCACTGGTCCTGAAGGGGTCTGGAGGATCAACCAGGTATAAGAGAGGACCTTTATCTAATAGTTATGTGTTTTTAGTTCAAGTTAGTGCATGAGTGCAGTGTGGAAATAATATCATGTAAATAATAATAAGATTAAACCTACCGAATTAAAAGAGAGTTAAATAATGGAGATAATAATTGTATTGTTATCAGGTCAAACTACTGCATGAGTAGAGAGATTATATCATGAAGATAATAATTGTATTGTTATCAGGTCAAACTACTGCATGAGTAGAGAGATTATATCATGAAGATNATATGTACCTACCCTTTTCTACAATTATATTCATTCAACAAAATTTGTGAACACTTTATTTTGTGTACTTCTTGTCTTACTCATGCATTTTCATGTTCTTGTATTATATTATTTAAAGAATGGGGAAAACACGTATAGATCTTGTAAGCTATATATTTATAGAAAGTAAAACCCAAGTATCTAACAATTTTATTTTTTTTGAATTTTTGTCATCGTTTCTCTCCTTCTTCCTTTTTTCTTATCCGTCTCTCCCTGATTCCGATAATTTTGGAAAAATTCCTTTTTTTCTTATCCTTCTGTCCCTATTCCGATAATTTTGGTAAAAAAAATATTTGTCGAAACCAGTATTTTTGGGACACTCTGCTCAATTGTAATTGTATGAACTGTGTTCTGATTAAGTAGACTCACTTTCTGCTTCAGTTGTTAGTTTTCAGTTCTATTGCCTAACCAGGATTGCTTGACCTGACAAGATGATCAGACTTGAAGGTTTAGGCAGGGGGGCACCACCATGAGAGGATATATGGATTAGGCAATTATTTTAAATTTATTCTGTACATTAAGTTTTGTCTCCAAATCCTAGTTTCGGCTATTGGTCTTAAAAATGGAGCTCCTCACAACATTTGTCCACTAAGAAATCAATTCCAAATGCTGTTTGTGGCAAACAGGTAGGGTTGAGGTGGAGCAGTTGGAAGTTTGCATTAGGACAGGAAGGGAGGGTATCGAGGGATTCCCATAGAAAATCCCTACTTTCCAAGTATAGATCTGAAAGCTATATATGTATAGGAAGTGGAGCTCAAGTATAGATCTGAAAGGTATATATTTATAGGAAGTGGAGCTCAAGTATAGATCTGAAAGCTATATATATTTATAGGAAGTAGAGCTCAAGTATAGATCTGAAAGCTAAATATTTATAGGAATTCGAGCTCAATTAAAGATCTGAAAGCTATATATTTAAAGAAAGTGGAGCTCAAGTATAGCTCTGAAAGCGTTATATTTATAGGAAGTGGAGCTCAAGTATAGATCTGAAAGCTATATATTTATAGGAAGTGGAGCTAAAGGTATAGATTTGAAATCTATATATTTATAGGTAGTGGAGCTCTATAGATCTGAAAGATAAATATATTTATAGTAAGTGGAACCCAGGTTTAGATCTGAAAGCTATTTATTTGTATGAAGTGGAGCTCAAGTATAGATCTGAAAGCTATATATTTGTATGAAGTGGAGCTCAAGTATAGATCTGAAAGCTATATATTTATAGGAAGGGGAGCTCAAGTATAGATCTGAAAGCTATGTCTGGTGGGGTGTAAACACAAAGCCGTCAGAGGAGATATTCAGGTTATTATATCATTTCCTATGTATTGATTTCCCTTGGAATGACCGGTTTCAAACTACTCTCACTTTAATTTACTGTGTTTTCTTTAATTCTTTATTCAGATGATGTTACTTGGTAGAAGAGTTTGGATGTTTAACTGAAATAGATTGAAGTATTATAGCAACAATATAACATTGATAAGAACAATTTTTATAATGATTTCATATAATTACTTACACGAATGTCATCTTTTAAGAAAGAAATCAAAGTAAGTTTACATCAGCGTCCATGGTTGGTTTAAGCCTTACTGAAGCTATACTCAGGATCCAGGCATACATACGTGCGTGCGCGCAGCAATTGTACATATTATATATAGTAAAATGGGAATAGATCAAATGCCTAATTTCAAAACATCCTATAAAGTATTCTAATATTAATTTACAATATTAAATCTAAAGATTTTTATTTTAGAGAAATAGAAGCGCCCTGCCTTAAGGACTGGAGAGAGGAAATGAAGAAACTAGAACTGTATTCAGAGTAAGATCTTAATGAAAATAGCTAAAACAACAGCTTTAAGTATCTTAATATATCATCAAAAAAGTAATATTGCAAAATTTATCTTAAAATTTTTATTTGCATTTCTTATATGCATTAATAAACGAATCCATAGTAATTATAAAATAGCTTGTTCAAATAATCAAGAAAGTTCAGTACGATACGTAAAATAGTAACCTTATATTTCAAGGCTGAACGACACGATCAAATATTTCAAGAAAAAATAAGCATTTCTAGAATGAACAACCGGTGTAACAACATACATTTAAAAAAATACGTTTAAGAATATATTTCTAGTTTTAAACTCACGTGTAAGAACATATTTCTAGGATGAGTAACATTTGTTAGACTATAATAATGGATGAAAGACGTTAAAGATCATATTTCTTAGCTAGAAGCGCACTATTGAGAATACATTTCTATGAAAAACGACACGTGTAAGAAAATAATTCTAGGATGAAAAACACGTTCAGTAATATATTTTTAGGATGAAACACACGATCAGTAATAATTTCTAGGATGAAACACACTTTCAGTAATATGTATTTTTAGGATGAACAACAAGGAAGAGTTCAATGAGGTTAAGTATTGTCCTGTCTGCAGCAGAACTCTGTCCTGTCCTGATCAGATCTATCAGCACATGAGAACTGAGGAGCACAAACTATCCGTGAGTAGACTATGAGAAGAGTATGCAGTAGTTCGTCATACAATGGTATGAACGTAAAAGTTCTGCGACTTTGATTCGTTAAACCATCGGTCGCTGAAGTTAATACGTTCATATCAATGTAAATGCAAGATTTAATTATGTTCGGTGGTATAATTTTTTTTTGAAAATCTCTTAAGTATTACATTACATCATTACTTGGAATTATTTTTTATTCAAATATGTACATTTTAAGAAAAAATGTCTAGTTTTTCCGTTTCATTTTTTCACATAAAAGGCAGCAAACTTTCTAACGAATGAAAGATGTTTAATTTTTTTTATATTGGATAAACATAGCTGTCTTTGAATATTGTATTACTCAATTTGTTTATATTTTATTGTAAATTGTAATATGTGTGAAATAAAATATTTACAATGTAAAACTAAGGGAACACGTTTTTTTTAAGAAATACCAGTTAACTTCATAACGCATCAAAGACACTTGTTTTTTGTTGTAGAAAGAACAGTGTTGCACATACTTTTTTTAACGAGCCTTCGACAGGACTAAAGACAATTCCAAATTCTGAAAGTGTTCTCTGAAGCCCGATATGGATATATTTAACGGTTCAACGGTTAATAATTTAGTCTATCAAATCCAGGTTATAATAGAATTTTAAAACATCCTGAAGGTTCAGACCTGGTCTTAAGAAGTTTATTACTGATTCATAGAAAGGAACATTTTTTTCGAATTTATTAAAGTTTGTTAGGTCAAGAAAACATTTGATTGACAGGGAGAAATGGTTAAAGGAATTAAGTTTTTGCCACAAACTCGGATTTTCTAATTTCAATATCGTTGTAACCCAATGTCGTATAGACCTTTAATATTTCAAATTATGAATGCAATTAGATCAAATAATGTAAGTTTGAAATATCAAAGGTTTTTGGCGATCAGCTAAATAAACTTCGAAAGGTTCAAGATTAACTAACTATATATTTATCTAAATTACATGGTTAAAAAGTCCGGTGAAATACGTGGCTCAGGAAACTCCCCTTTTAGCTTCTCAGCTGCCGCGGAGAATTCTCCAAGAAGGACGACTTTCATAACCGCCACAGGTTTACATCATAAGGTTGCAAAGATAAAGGTTTTACAAAAACTGAATTTGTGGCAAAGACTCGCGATTCCTTTATTTAAATTATCTAAACCCTTTTCTTTTTAATAATATATTATTACAAATTTGACTAAAATATAGTTTTAATCCACGAGAGATACAACCAATAAGGTATATCAGAAGCCCTCGAAAGTTTGACTACAACAAGAAACATGCGTCAAAAATAAGAGGCTAACTAGAAGACTTCTCTGATGAAAGAACAATCGTTATATAATTGACATCGTTCAGAACTCGGTTGAAGCCGGACTAAAAATCATTTGTTTTAAAATCATGACTTCTTCCGTTCCGGAATTCTCATTTATTTCTGTAGGAAGGTTTTTCGGATTTTCCAGAACCTTCTTTATCCAATTGAAGAACAGCTTTAGAGGAAATAACTGTTCTCCTACTTCCAGCAGTTTCCTTTCTCTGAATCTTCGTTTAAGTACTTGTAAAATTAAAATGTTTATATGTCTGGTTTCATACAGGGTGTCCCACGAAACATGACAATAGCAAGACGACTTGAAAGTCGTCTTTGGTATTAGAATTTATTTGTGACATTTATTCTTCTATCTACTTTAACATGTATGATTCTTGAAACAATTATCACATAATTCTCCTAGCCCTGGCATTTCCAAAAAGTGGTCTGCGTTTTTTGTGATTTCAATATTACCGGAGATATAAAGAGTTTGGTTCAGATTTCAATTTTGTTAAATAAAAGCAAAATTGTCGAAATCTGAACGAAATTCTTCATATCTCGGGCAATATTGAAAGCACAAAAAAGGCAGACCACATTTTGGAAATGGCAGGACAAGGGAAATTTTGTGATTATTATCTTTAGAAATTTACTTCTTAAATTAGGTTGACAAATAAACGCAGCAAATTTTATCAAAAATCAAGACGACATTCAAGTCGTCCTGCATACTGTCATGTTTCGTGGGACACCCTGTACTAGCTGTTTTATGGGTTTAGTCGCTGTTTTACTTCTTGCTTAAACTCCTTCTAAATTTAACTCCCTTCTACTTTAATGTTGTGCAGTGTTCATTAAAAAAAATACTCCAGTTTGAAATTCTGATATTTTTAATGAACGTAACGGAAAATTCCATTTGACCAATACCATTACGCAAAGGAATGGAGCCTTCGCCACAAACACTGAATTTCTAATCCATATATCTTTGTATTCAAACGTCGTAGACCTTAGATATTTTCAACTATGAATTCTGTTAGATCCAATAATCTAAGTCCATCAAAAGCTAACTCCAACAGGTTACAAAACTTTAGGGATTAGAAGAATTAAATTTGTAGAAAAGACTCAATTCCTTCGTAAAATTTCTACTACAATATTATTAATAAAAAAATTCAGAATGCTAAAGAAGTCGGAATTAAGGATTCTAAAGATTTTATGGGCGACATGTCTTATACAGGGTGTCCCAAAAAACATGGGAATTCAGTGACGAATTCGATATCGTCTTTGTTATGAATTAGCATTGTAATACCTAATTTCAAAAGCCATAATATTATTATGTCTGCTAGAGTTTATTTAATGAAAAGGATAAAAGACTGCAAAGATGTGTCTATAATGTCTCCGCAAGATGAACAGTGAATACGGACAAGTTTACTCTGTTTGCCTACTGTAATTTTCTTGTTTTACTAAGTGCAACCGGTTGCAGTCAAAACATAAACAAACAAAATGTAAACATAGCAGACGAAACTCTTACAGATTACAGCTTTCTCAGTAGGTATCACTATACTAAATCAAAGAATTATTTGAAAAGACGATATCGAATTCGTCACTGAATTCCCATGTTTTTTGGGACACCCTGTAGTTTAATATTCATATTTATTTAGACCAAAAGAGGCGAAAATGAAAAAATCTATTAGTTTTACTAAAATTTATTTGTACAGAAAAGAAATATTTAGTTTTGCAGATATTAACGTACAAAAATGTGACTGGCAGTAACAGAATGTTGTGAGCGAAACAAATAAAAATGCACGCACAATTTTAACTTGACAAGTGACCTGTCCAAACAAATGAAAATAATGTCATTACTTTAACGAGGATATTTGTAAAAACTATTATAGCTGTAATCTTTAAAAAACATTTGAATTTTAGAATTAGCGAAAATTTTAGCAACCGCTTGAAAATTAAAAACATAAATTTGAAAATATTAGAGAATGGCAATGTATTATTTTTTAAATTAAGGTAATCAACTTTTTCTTTTGATCTTTGCAGAGCTGGAATTGAGAGGTTTTTGATTTGTTCTCTCATTCACAATATTCTCTATCTGTCTTAAAGGATTTAAAGGGTCACTTCGGAAAATTGTTGAGAGAAAAAATTTTAATAATTTTTAAAATTGATAAATTTTGATTATTATGATTAATCAAAATTCCGTTTTTAAACGTTGATTCTTCAAGTTACAGTTGGCAAAATTCCTAATTATACAATATTGTTAACCATTAATTTCAAAACCTCTGTAAAATGTCGTCTTCTACTGGAATCTCCTGTCGGAGACAGCCAAACCAAATTTTCAGCCCGCATCGTCTCCTTCCTTTCCTTCTCTGAGGTTTAGAACCGCCGTTAAGTTGACAGGCAAAGCATCCTTCTGTGGAGATAAAATCGTCCGACCCCTCGTCCATGTCTTGAAAGTCCCAATCTCGCGCTAAAGCCTGATATGATGATGGATTAACTGTTGCAACACAGTGTCCGTCTCCTATACTCTGGTATCCCCTAGGACACTGGCAACTGTATCCCTGGTTTCCTGTGGGAGAGCAACCAAAGGCACAAGGCGCACTGCTACACCCCCCTCCTGATTAAATACAGATTGAGAGACCGGAGTCGAATTGGTATCCTGTAGGACAACCACACTCATAGCTCCCGATGGTATTCGTACACTTGGAGTTGCCTCAAGGATTAAGTCTGGAGTTACATTCATCCTTGTCTACACACTGGTTAAAGTATAAATGGAGCTGGAAACCCTCCGGACACCCAGATTGATATGAACCTGCACTGTTCCTGCATCCCTCCTCACACCTGCAATACAAAGGATTAAGCTTCCAATATCTTTGATTAATTATCTCAATTAGTATTATCATTAAACGCATGTTTTAAGTAACATATATATATATATAGAATGAATCTCTATACTTTTTTTAGTTCTTTTTACATAATTTAATAAATGACTAAAGAGCCTTATTAAACCTAATGAAGTGTTATCTAGTTATGTTTAAGTCAACATTTAAGTCTTCTTAATTGACAGCAACATGTTTATTGTTTACCCTTATCTTATCGGGTCTTTTTATTTGTGTTTCTTGTGAAATATTGTAACAAAAAATGACACAAAATTTACAGACACGCGACAAAGTCAAAACTGATGTAAACCTATACCAAATATTTGTTCATTCTTAATGAGAGAGAGGTCACAGGTGAAAGAATGCTGATATCAGACCCAATTGCAGAGATGGGACGCGTGTAGAGAAGATTGAAGATTAAAGCTTATATTGGAGTCATCATTGCATTCATTCGCCTCTACGCAGAAGGTTCGAGAGGAGTCTAATTTGAAACCTCGTGGACAAACACACTTGAAACTTCCGTCTGTGTTCTTACAGGTACCTGGAGACGGACTCAAACCCTGCACAAAAGTATCAAGGTAAAGTGATGAAGATAAAATTATCAAAATGTGACAGTTGAAGAAAGGTTTTACGACCTCTATAGTAAACAACGACAAAGATGACATTGATTAAGTATAAGTTCGTTCAGACCAATTGTTCTAGTAATTTCAAACTTAGGGTTGTTTAAGCAGAAATATTTTGCTAAATAATTGCGCAGGTTTTCTTTAAACATCCATTTAAACGACCAAGCTAATCTAACGCTTGATTCACTTCTAAAAGAGGTCTTTCATATGCCGAGCTGCTCTTGAAAAAATTTGTCTATTTTTTCTAAAAGACAGTGGTTTTAACTGTACTGCACCTCACATATAAGACTTGGAATAGTGATTAAAACTTTCTTCAGGTGTATGGGACGCCTGAAGATCCCTAGTTTATTAAAAGTAGTGAAAGGGTGTGTGGGTCACCTTGAGAACCCCCTGACTTTGTCAATAGTTCCTTATTAGAGCACTTAAGTGCAAAAACTTTAGTGAGAGAAACATTTAAAAAGACTAAAAAGTAAAACTGAGGGATATATAATATTTTATTTTTATAAAGATACTGCTGAGATTTTGTTCAGGTTCTTGGGTAACCCCCTGGCTGACTGATCCAGTGGATTTCCAAATATTCCCAGCTGACCTAATTATCCTGATCCC